CCATTTGTTCGAGCTGTTCGTGGGCGCGCGTCGGTGGATCTAGGTCGCCATGTTTGGATGCGCTACAGGTCGCATTCGATCCTGAATCCTTATCAATTTGTAGGTTTCCCAAATTTGTCCCTTCATGGTTGTCTCCCATGATTAGAAATGCAAAAACTGTACAAGTCAGATGATGATTCCATCTGATGTAAACAGCCATAAATTCATGTTTCTCAAGCTGAAGAAGAACTAGCAATCTGGGAGTTCCTTTCTTTCAATGGTACTCATGTTAAGAACCCACTGATCGATGAGCCTGTGTTACCTTAGCATGCATCGTGTAGTTCATGGCATTAATTCCCGACATTGGGTCTTAGTTTCATATTAATTTAAGCCGACAAGCAGATGGTCTATTCCTGCTGCTCGATTATGTATGGTGTAATTTTGCTTGTATGTATATATATAGTTGTTTGCTGACCTTATTTTAATTATCTCACTGATGCGATGCAGGCCAGGTAAGCAGCAGGCAAAGGGCGGGAGAAGGCAGCAGGCAAAGGCCAAATACTCTAGGCGTCTTTCTTGCCTGCAGCAACTAGTGTGCCTTCCCAGTCTGCCGCCCTTGCTATTTGTACGAATGCAAGGAAGGGAACAAGCCAAGGTGCCAGACTATATACAAGAGGCTGAAAGGTTTGTTTCCACAATGGCATATTATTGCAATTTGCATGTAGCAGCTGCATGGTTTCCCTTTTGTGAAATGCCATCGAGTAGCAATTCGCTAGCTGGAATATTACGGTAACACACTCTGCAATCTTTACTTTTTCAGAACTATATATGCAGACCGGAATAATGGATCATGTGACGGCAGGTTTAATCATTCTGTTGTTAGCATGATTTGATTCTGCAAACTATGCCTCAACTGGAAAGGAACAACACTTCTGATGGTAGGTTTCTGACCATTCCAATGTTGCAACAATATCAAATTCAAAATAAGGTGTGAGGCAATGTTTTTTGCATGTGTCGAATATGATCCTAACCGTCAAATTATGAACATTGCAGGATATGCTCTTATCTTTTTCGTTATAACCTTTGCAACCAACTCCCTATTCCGTAGATCTGCTCTCACTGTGTTAGTAACCTTCTTCTGGCCATTCCAATGTCGCAGGCTTTTGTCCACTAAATAATGTTCTGTTTATGATCTTTCTTCTCTCAGGAACATGCTGAACATGTAGACGTGTTCCTGGTCGATCTAACGAAAGTCGTGACATATACTACGTGACGTTTGTTTTTCGTTGGTCTTTAGTTAGCAATGTCAAATAAGAAAGGAGGTACGAGACACTATCTTTCTCATGACATTTACTATTAGTCAATTGTAAGCTTTTCTTCAGGTGTGAAATATGATTCCGTTGACTCATTTCAGAACATTGCAGGCTAAGTCCTTCAATTTCTATGGCTCGTTGGCTAAATCATTTGTGCAGTCATAGTGGGCTTCCTAGTGATTGGATGGCTTGTGTTCCACGAGATTAACAATCTTGGTGGAGACTCATTACCTAAATGGTAAATATCTAAAACATCATTCATCCTATCGTTTATGAGATCCTTCCTGTAGGCTTCATACAATATTAAAGAAAGATGATGATCAATTCATAGTATTGGTCAGTCTAAGAAACTGAAAGTAATGAGATTTTCTCTGCCTCACAGAGCATCTATACTCGTGGGTTAATCTACAATCTCTGTTATCTGACCACAAGTATTTCATTCTCATTCTGTAGACAACTGCAGTCAATGGTGGATTCTGCAGACAATTGCAGTCAATCGTAGTGTATTCTGAAGCAGCTGCACTGGACCACAATTCCGAAGGTCAGTTGGTCATTATTTCCCTTAAAAATTGAAGTGGCTATCCACTGTGCCATCGGCGTGGTTCTTGGACTCACATTGCCTTGACTTGTGAACTTGGTATAATCGTCCAGGTTTTCCTCTCAATTTGCCGACCAAAACCCCCAAGAATTCATGACTAAGACTGCTGTGGACTGATAGGTGGCACCATATGTCCATCTCTTGATTGCGAAGTATAAATGGGGCAATTACACTGGGAATTCCGGCAGCAGGTCCACCATTAAGAAAATTAAGGTGCTTTACAGACAGCTATATGCACCAGTATTTGATTTTTCTTCCCAATGAGATCATCATTGCATTAATTCAGTTTTTATTTTTCTTCAGTCCATACGGAGGAGCTACGCCCTTGCCGTGGCCTGCTTCTCCCTCTCTGACTTGCTGCGCTCCACGGTCTGAGACTATATTTATAACCAACTCAGAATCGTGACTGCATATACATTCATCATTTTCTCACCTTGTCCATTTTTCTGACCTTGACAGCTTGACTACTTCATTACTCGGATTCTGGAGAACAATTGCAGCCAATGGTGACTGCTGAGCTCTTGCCGTTGGCAATTTTGCATTGAGGGCATAGCTCTTCGATTCAAATAATAATAACGACGATGGAAGCACCCATCTTGGTTTCTAAGCAGCAACTCCACAAAGGTCAGGTGGCCATTCTGTCAGTCAAAAGTGTCTATCACATGTGCCATGTGTTGTCCTTTAGATTTGCATCACACTGACTTGTAAACTTTGTGTAACCCTCCAGGTTTTCCACTAACTGCACTTCCAACTGGCGAAGTCAAACTCGAAGGAATCCATGATTCATGGCTGCTACGAATGATGGGTAGCACAATTTGTCTGTGTTGTTGTCCCATTTGTCTGTGCACTGGGAATTCGTCTGGTTCGCCATGAACCAAAACAAGGTCCTTTACTGATATCCAATAATTTTTTCTCTAATCCCAATGAAGTCAGCATTTCTTTTCTTAGTTCGGCTCCCTATATTTTCTTCAGCTCGGCATTCCAAACATATACTCTGAAGCTTAAATTGGTGGCATCATATTCTGTGTCCACGACTCAGGGATCGTTGCTGGTATGTAGTACCTGTTTTCACATAGTTGACCTCATACGCTCTGATTTCAGTTCCGCTGGTAACTCATGAATAATATTAAGTTTTATACTAGGACTAGTTAACAGCATAACATGTCATGTATCTATTTTTCAGCAGAGTGGCAAACGCATGTATGTGTACACAACAAAACACGCACCAAGCCATGGCGTCCCACTCCCTCAAGGACGAGTTTGCTGCGGCCCACCTTTTCCTGCGGGCGGAAGCAGGCCACCCTCGTTCCTCACCGGCGTGCTGAGCTACACGGGGCGGCAGATGCGGATATTTGCTCGATTGACGCCATCCCCATCATCTTCCTTTGGTCTGTGTGACGGCCCACTAGTTGTGTGCTCTGCTTCTCTCGTGTAGTCCCAACTCGTACGCCGACCTCGCCATCTTCGACTCCAGCACAGCATGTACGCACGTCACCGGAGTAATCTGTGGCCGAAACCGAGCTGATGTGAATTCGACCAATAATCCGCCATGAAGCAAATGAAGGTAAGCCTTAATGATACACGACAGTATTTCTTGTGCTTTCCCATTAAATCTTTGCCTTGATTTCAGTTCTTTTTTTCTATATTCAGTACCTACAGCAGGAACAGCTAGTCCATACAGTAGGAACAACTATCTGATAAGATATTCCAAAGTTTAAAATGGTATCCCCTGTTCCGGGGTTAGGATCCCCCGGCAGTAGCACAAGGTGCAGTACAGTCGCTGCCATGCGGACTCGACCCCACTTGTCATTTGCACTGCAGCAGGGTGTTCTGGGTCCAGGAATCAATGACTAATGCTGGTACGTATTGTATCTGTTTTAACGGAATTATTTCCTATGCTTTAATTTCGTCTGAAAGATTTTAGTACACTAGATCCTGCTGTTACCTTGTAAATAAACTGAATTTTGCTACTGCCAACTAGCAGCCTAACATGTTCTCTACGTGACATACTTTACAGCGGAGCGGCAACTACTTCTATGTGTACGACACCCTCGATGTCCACCACGTCATGTGCCTCTGGCGTGTAAACTTCCGCGCTAGCTCTGTCATCTGCTTCCTACGCAACAACCTCACCATCTTCCACTCCGGCAATGCCTGGCCCCACATCGCCGGTGTAATTTGTGGCCAACACCAAGCAGCCTGTCCATCCCTTTTGCGTGGTCATCCTCCACGCCATGATTTTCGGGGCAAGCAGCAGCTAGCACATGCTAATTTAGCTCCAACGACGTGACATTGGTATACCTTCAGCGCAACCGTTACATAAAACTATACCGCGCAGACATATGAACATTGATCATCACATTCCATGTTAAAAGAAGGCACGGCGGTTCATCATGTAGATAATAAATATATGTTATGTATGTAGCACTGAGAAACCAAGACATCAAGAAATGTGTCTCCTTTTGAACAGCTTGGGAAATCTTA